AAATATAAAAAGTATGATTAGTTCAATACAAATGACATTAAACGATATTTAGCGGAATTATCACCATTTATTACCAAATTTTTTCCCAATTTTTTTTTTTTGAAAAATCACTATTAACTAGGATCGCACGTATCGATCGTCCAGTGTATAACTACAGGTAGGGCCGGGTACATTACCTAAATAAACAACGTATAATATTATCATTTTGATGGCCGTGCCATAATATTACTGTTYGCCATTGTCGGAAGAATTTTCCCAACGTTTGATCGCACGTATACGTATATAGCAGCCGTCGTAACGAGTTATTTACACTTGTCGGTTCGGTTCGATTGAGCTGATTTTTAACCCGTAAGTATAAACCTATGTATAATATGTACACATAATGCACGCACACTTTTAAAGTAATATTATTACTGTATTAATCGTAGAATATCATACAGATTAATATTATTTATCACTGCAGAAGACTCACCGAACACATATACGTATATAGGTTTTTGGTATGTCACGTAGTGAATATACAAAATATGCGTTTTGTGTGTAATTTAATATATAGTTTTTTTTTCGTATTCAGTATTATATTAGATTGGATTACATTGCTGAATTGAGAGCGATATTTTTGTTTAATTTACTTTAATTAAATATGTTTCACTGCACAAACTTGTTAAGAACACTTATGATAAGTATTTCGAACACCATGAGCGGCAATTGAATTTGAAATACATACATTCAAGTATTTTCTTCCAAAATGTATTCATATAATATTATATACGACATGTACAAAGTATAATTCCTTTTGTGTATGATATTTATTAAAATACGAAAAAGTACATTATGATATTAATTATTATTAGCAACTAAAAATGCTTTCTTCCCAAACTTTTAGTACTAATTATTAATTAATGATATTATTGATACTACACTACATTGCATCAATGTCAAAATTTGAGTAGACGACAATTGAAAAAGTTAAATATAAAAAAGTATTATTTTTTTTAAAATCATAAATAAACAAAAAAAAATATTATATCAACAAAGTATTTTTCATTCGAAACTAAATAACACGTATTCTAGCAAACTAAAAGTTAAAAAATAGAAATATCATACAGCATCATAAAAGTACCAAAATTGGTTTCTAAATTTAAGACGTTATACTTCAAATTTGAATAATTTTATGTTAGTCCATATCATTATTTTATCATTTTTATATTTTCATTAAAATTCACCTAATTAATATTGTACAATTAGACACAAGTATAACGGTAAAACGCAAGTTCACATTGTAAGTAAATATAATAAATAATATAATTTTTAAAAGACCCATCAATAACATTGTAAATGTAATATACAATAGATTTCATGAAAAGATTATTTGATTAATTAACCAATTTATAACTATAGTATTATTTAATTAAGTTATAATAGTATAAAATTCGTTCAAACGTTAATTAACATAAAAATTACTCGTATACGTATTTAATATTATATTTTTTAAATCATATTTATTTTAGTTAATAAAATGAAAAGCAAAATTATTAACAATATTAAAAAAAAAATTGTTAACTTGGAATGTATTAGAGTAAATAATAAAATTGTAATACATTAATACTACCATCGATATTTAAGAAAACATAAATGTGGATATATTAAAGTCAAAAAAATTCTGATTTGAGTGCACAATTAATACAAATAATATATAACGTCTAGGTATATTATATTGTACTTTTTTTTTTTATTATTACATTAAGGTACCCCTAGCTTACGCTATCTATACCTAGAGATGTAGGAAAGGTAATACTTTTTATTGGAATATATATTGTACTAAAACAGCTTAATTATGTACAAAAATGTGAGGTAAATTTTAAAATTTAGTTGATAAAACATAATTTTTTAGATTGTCATTAAGAATTGCATGTGTTTCAATGATCCTCAAGAAACTATTCATTTGTACATCGTCATCAAAATACACTCTTGTCTAGTACTCGACTGTTTCGTTGCCCTTTATTCTCAAACACACTTTGAACCATGTATAAAAATGTGTTCTGTTACTTTCATTAAACTAGGGTTTTAGAATAATGTATTAACAAAATATAACTAGGTGTACAAGATAGCAGTGAAATAATATTTTTACATAAAATATGTGTTTTAACAAAATAAATAATCATAACAGTAAATTAATTAGTTGCATAAAGATGATATGATAATGTTATAATTTAAAATATTATCCAACCAAAATAAATATTATTTATTGATTTAATTTTTTTCTCAGAAATATTATATTAATTTGGGTTCTTTGAATAGTAATGCAATTTTTGGATTTCTTCAGTAGTTTTTATGAAAATTATTGAACAATATCTGAAAAAAAGAGGAAAACTTGAATGTAATTTACAGCAAAGCCATTAGTTGTAACTAAATTTATTTCGTTATTTCGTTGTAAATGGGTATAACAAATTCAGGACACTTGACATTTTAACGAATTATTTAAATAAGTATAGTATTGACGTGATATTATTTTTAAACAATAATGATGCCATTATCAAAATGTGAAAATTGTATTAATTTTTCAGTATTTATTTTATGAAATCTGCAATTTAAATATCTTGAATTATTTGTCATGAGCTATAATGTGTCTCTTTGAATATATTTATAAAACAAATCATTATTCATAGTTGTTAAAAATATTCAAAGTTGTATAGACAGTATAAATACTATAGTAAAATTTAACTTCAACGGGCAATATATTGTTGTAGATTGTAATACAAATATATTCAGAAAAAATCAAACATTAATGCTCAAATCCATTTGTTGATGAGTCTATTTCTCGTGGAAATCTTAAAAAATGTTAAATTTGCTTATAGTTTATTGAATTTATCTATGATTTTTAAATCAATAATATAGGCGCTTTTAAAATTAAACATCTCAGCCTCTATTACATTTTGTAATTATTTTTCAAACAGTGTACGAAACTAACAATTTTAAATGAGTTATTACTCCTTTCAATAACACTATAATTTCAAACATTTATTATTAATTTATATTTATTGAAACTTTGACATTGCTTGGATTTTTTTGATGGTTTTTACTAGTTTGACATATATATATATATATCCTTTAAATTAGTTTCATACATTTTGACCGATTCATAAGAAAAATAGTGGCTCACCAAAATGTAATTTCATCAAAAAAGTCCGCGTTAAATCGTCCTACCTAAAACCTCCTATAAGGCTATAACCTAGATCTTTGTGGTACTATTGGTTAGGTTATTATATAGTGAAGAATAAATGTAAAAGAATAATAAATCATTAAGGTTAATCACAATTTTCAACTCGGTGGCCACTACTGCAATATACATGTTAAAAGTTAAGCATTTTATTTTATTTTAATAACTACTATAAAAATAAAATATAATTATAACATTTTAATGTTCTGCTTATCCCTCGTTAGTATACATATAATATATAATATAATGTTGATCGTGGTTACGTCACTGCATTGTTTTATTAATTTTATTTCAGTAAATTAAATTCAATATTTTAATTTTAGCAGGTGGTAGCTATTATCTATCTAAATAGCAAATTCCATTCAAAATTAAATAACTAGGATTATAGGTCAAGTTAATAAAATAAAAAAAACCTTTGATAGTTATATAATAAATGTATTAGCAAGTGAAGAAACATTTTTAACGTTAATAATACTAATAATAGAATGATAAATATAATATCAACAAACAAAATTAATTTAATTTCAAACAAAAGCATTTGTTTACTTTTTAATAGTTCAACTGGACAAATTTTTGTTTTCGATATAATATTTAGGAATATAAATTATATACTTGATTTAAAACTAACTTCATCGGATTCATGAAATACCTAAGCTGTAGTGTATATATACTTGAGTAGTGTAAATGCGATAACTATGTAGTTAATACAGTTCATTAAATATTAATTAATAAGTATGTATACAAAGTGGRCGAGAATTCATGTTTGAAATAAATTGGAGAGGAATACATGTATAACTATAATTATTATTATCTAAAACTAACATAATGGTCAATATTGAACTATAGTAAAAATTATTTTCTGATATTTTTATTATTTTTGTTTTTATTTATAACAGACTTCGGCAACATGGGCTTTTGGATTTACAAACAATTTAATCAATTACAGTATATATAGTTTATTT